CCATATTTTATAAATTAATCATTAAACATCAATCATGTCAAAGTAAGGAGACTACCTGATTAAGAAAAAATAATATGATGCTAATATAATGCAGGGCTGTCACTGTTCCCACTACTTCATATCTTAAACATATTACACATTTATGCTCTCATTTAAGATCAATACATTATTGTAGGGACTTGGAAGCAAGGACAAAAAATTAAAAGTAACATGGTTCAGTAATATCAATGCCTGTATCTTTATCTCACTTCAAGTATTAACAATGATGCCCATGGTAAAAATCGAAATAGCATCTCAGGTAGGTGGGATGTTAGTCTGACCCTTACCACTGTCCTTGAATCATTATTTTACTTACTTGTCAGACATAATGCCAGAATCTATCTTTGGGTGCTTCAGGGAAAAAACACAATGTATTTAAGATAAGATCTCCCTTGGAAAGAGTAACAACTTAAAAAAAAAAAAAAAAAAAAAAAAAAATGGAGCAAGGAGACATACACAATTACAAGGAACACATCGGGGAACTTAATATTAACACTGTATATATAACTGAAAAAGATAAACTGGAAAGACAACATTCATCCAAAGATAAATACTTTTTTTTAAAAAAAGATGAACATGTGTCCATCAAGCAAAATAAATTAATTTCCATTTCATCCACTATTAAGGTCCCCTCTCCTTCAACCCAAACACACATATACATACAAGGTAGACATTCTCCATCTACACTGTAAGCCTCTGGCTCACATGAAAACAAAATGATTTTAACCACACACTAGCTCCAGCACTCAGACTTGTAATTTCTACATGCTGCCCACACAGCACTTTGTGAGCATGTGATTAGGAGGAATGATGCACAATCACACCACATTCCTTCCCTCAGCTCACACATCAAGAACTTGCTCTCTCAGCTGCATTCTTCTCCAAACAGCCATGGTCACCTTAGCAACCCTATGCTCCTAATATGGACAGCTGGCCCATTTAAAGTCAGTCCTTCTTGGCAGGGAAAATGCTTGTTCTTCAAATTGGGGGAGAGAGGAGAGGTTTTCCTTTAATACACATTGCAGAGGTTGATTTAACTTGATCAGCACTTTTGTTCTGTGGCAGCAATTTGTGTCGACTTTCAACCTATTCTGAGTTTTGTTTTTATGTTTTTGATATTTTTTAATCTAAAAAGCAAGTAGCTGAAAAAATAAAATTAAGCCAGCTCAGCTGGAACTCTAAGAGTGGAACATGAAACAAAAAGGTATCTAAAATAATTGCGTTCTTTTAGAAAATTACAAAACTAGCCACATTTTTGTGGGTAAAGTTCAACTTTAAACTAAATTATAACACCTGAAGCCTTAATATGCAATAAGAAATCAGAGTCAGAAAACCTATCTTTTTCATATTATAGCCTACTTTTGAACAACAAAAATATTGCTAAACTTCAAAGTACAATAACTCCAAGGTATTAAACAGACTGTCAATTGGCATTCATTTATTCCACCACCTACATGTGAAATCTCTTACAATCTTTCCATAGGCTCAAATGTAAGTTAGGTATTGAAACCAAGTGGTTAGTGTATCCGAAGACCCTCCAGACCTAGAATGACCTAGGATAGCACTGAATTACTGAAAACCAATCTTAATCTCTACCTGCAGTATCAAACCTGGATCTGAACCAAATTAAGCCTCTCAGGATAAAAGATTCAGGTTTATAATCCAGTACACCTGATGTTCACACTACAGACAAATAGTCTGCGGGGAGGAAAACTATATTCTGAAATATGTGAGATCAAATTCCTCATTGCATACCCACAAAGGAATTCTAATCTCCCGCCCATCAAAACTAGACACCTACCCTTTAAGGAAAGTAAACGGTCATGCTCAAAATTAAAAATACCTAAATTTTATTGTATCCATTCTACACTGGAAATATTTATGAAATACTTTCCTATAAATACAGAGGTGGACTAAATACATATAAATTTAATAAATGCTGAATAACTTATAATAATGAAAAAATTATTCATTATTTACATTTTTGTTTGTATATATGTGTTTTTTAAACTACTCAACCTATGTGGTTCTTCCTGGTTAGAAACATTTCTTTCAAGACTATCCTAATAATTACTACTTCTATATATAGCAAAGTATCAGTTGACAGGGTGGTAACACAGATTAGTAAAAAGAACCTAAAGCCAATTCCACTTTGGATTTTCTCATTTGTAAAATGGGGACATTATCTGTTCTACTTATGCAGTGTGGTACCATATCTAAGTGAGAATAATGAAATTACTATGGCATACAAAAGACTCAAAAATTAAAGAAACTCAGCAGGGTGTTAAAACACCCAGGTCAAGGGTTTAGATCCCCATACCGGCCAGCCACCATGAAAAAAAAAGGAAGAAAGAAACAAGAGAAAGGGACTATGGCACCTGACATCTAATTCAGTTATTTTTATTTTTATTTTTTTTTTCCTTTTTGTCTTTTTTTGTGACCGGTAACGGGATCGCAACCCTCGGTGTCGCGCCCACACCGCGCTCAACCAGTGAGCGGACCGGTCTCTATATGGGATCCGAACCCTCAGCGGGAGCGCCGCCGCACTCCCAAGCGCCGCACTCTACCGAGTGCGCCACCAGGCCAGCCCTAATTCAGTTATTTTTTTAAAAGGTAGAGCTAAGGGGCTTGCCAGTGAGCTTGGTTGGTCAGAGCTCAGCCTTGTAACATGAAGGTCAAAGGTTCAGTACCCTGTACCAGCCAGGAGCAATTCAGTTATTTTTTTAAAAGGTAGAGCTAAGGGGCTTGCCAGTGAGCTTGGTTGTTCAGAGCTCAGCCTTGTAACATGAAGGTCAAAGGTTCAGTACCCTGTACCAGCCAGGAGCAAAAAATAAAATAAAAGGTGGGGGAGTATTCAACAATGCATATAATACCAAATCAACATCAACTTCAAGAGTTTCCAGTTTCCCCACCAAAGATCTTATAAATATTTAATTGTTGATATGTAAATAACTACTTCTTTCAAAAAGCCTCAACCCTGGTTTCACTTTTAGCAGACATGTGAACTCCCTTCCTGCTATGGTGTGAATGTGTCCACTCCAAAATTCAGGCGTTGAAACATAATGGACAATGTGATGGTATTAAGAGGTGGTCCTTTAAGAGGTGATTAGGTCATGAGGGCTCCTCTCTCATGAATGGGATTAAGTCCCTCATAAAGGAGGCTTCTTCTTGCAACATTGTTAATGTCACTTTCCCTTCTGCCTTCCACTATGTGAGGCCACAGTGTTCCTCATCTCCTGAGGATGCAGTCCTCACCAGACAACCTGAACCTATTAGCTCCTTGATCTTGGACTTCCCAGCCTCTAGAACTGTGAAAAATAAATTTCTGTTCTTTATAATTATATAGTCTGTGGTACTTTATTATATACATGTTTTTGTTAGGCTCCACCATCCTTTTCTTTGTTCCAACAGGTTCTTAGACAGGCAGCTTTCTAAACAGATGCTTATATTTCTTCCTCTAAACTTCCATAGCATCTAACTCACATTCTTTAATTTCAATTCTAATATAAAGAAATGAACACAAACTGGCCTTTTCCAAAATGCCCATTTTAGTGTGTCTTATACATTTAAGGAATTTTACATTTAACAGCTTGATTTTAACAAATATCAACTTGGAATACAATGCACAAGTTAGATAAAACAAACTAGGTGAAAACTAACAATACAGCCAGATCTTGAAGAGGGAAGTAAAGGGGAGGAAAGTAGAGCAGAGCATACATTACATTAAGATCTAATGTATAATATCTCTTTTTTATATATATCAAATCATTTACTCTAAGGCTTGCTATGGTCAAGTGCTTTATTTTCCATAGGCTTCTTGAGTTATATTAGCATGGTTTAGGGTGGCATATTCACTTTTTTTGTATATTATCTTTTATTATCTTTTTCGTATATTATTATCTTTTTTGTGTATTATCTTTTTAAAGGTTAGGTGTCTAGTTTTGATGGATGGGAGATTAAAATTCCTTTGTGGGTTTGCAAGGAAGAATTTGATCTCACATATATCAGAATAGTTTCCCTCCTCTCAAACTATTTGTCTGTAGTGTGAACATTACTTGTACTGGATTATAAACTTGTATCTTTTATCCTGAGAGGTTTGATTTGGTTCAGATCCAGCTTTGATGCTGCAGGTAGAGATCAAGACTGATTTTAAATTAAAGTACAGGCACATAGAATAATAAAACTTTTTATAAGACAAAAACAGAAGAATACATATAAAACACCTTAAAGTAAGGTCAGATATAAAAGGAAATAGAAGAATGGTCCTTCTTCAGTGATGATGGGCATGACACAAATTGAGGAACATTTTTAACTTAACAATCCTGTACTTGAGGTTAAAAACTATTATGTCAAAGTCATCTTCTTTCATAATAACATAAATTAATGATGACTTAAAATCCATTGTAAAGTTGATCATTCAGGAATTTTAAAATGTATATTAGATGTTACTTAATATTTTATTACATATTGGTAGGAAGCACTCTACTTTTAAACTAAATACAGTAGTTACACAATTTTGATAGGTGGGAACTCAGCTAAACAATCTCTAATTTAAAGCCCCTAACAGAGCTTCTATGAACCACCTTCTCCCCAGTCATTCAGGTAAAGTCCACTGAGTAAAAGATAAATGAACCCTAGTGGAAGAAAAGAACTGTTTTCCCCAAAAGGGATAAACCCACTGTTAAGGATGCTAGGAACAAGCTCTGACCATGAGAAGCAATATTTGAATTTCAAAGGTGACTACTTTTATCACACCCTTTTAATATTAACTTCAAAGAAGATGATCTGTGTCTTGCTAGCAAATTCTGAGGTAGTAAAAGAATGGCTAATAAATCTGTAAGAGTCTGGTAATAATTAAGAAAACATATAATAAGTATACGGAAAAGGATTTTAAAAAGTCAAGAGCAATTAACCCTGTATTCAACTATATTTGTTTTGTTACTACATTAACAATTTCTCACCTTGTGGAATTCTCTTCTGAGGAAAACAGATACAATTCTGTTCCTAAAAAAATTTCAGGTAGAAAAGTTAAAATGTTAGTTTTGAAACAGTCTCTTGAAAAGGAAACATTACAAAATGCTAACATTATATTCAAAATATTATGACATTTGATATTACTAAAGCTTAAGAGATAGTAGGTCTCTAACAATAAAAGTATTTTTTATACAAATACTTATAAATTATATTACTTTTATTATTACAAAAATACTTATTATTATTCTATTGACAGAATACCAAATTATTTTTGCTAGGTTTATAATGATGTGTGGCACATTTTCATATTCCAAAACACTAGTAACTCTAGTGGGTTTTATTCTCTCAGACTTGATATTCTGAAGACTACTTTTTTTTTTTAGGTATAATTCACACATCCTGTAAAATTCATCCCTTTAAGCAGTGGTTTTTAATATATTCACAAAGTTTTGCAACCATCACCACCATCTAATTTCAGAATATTTTCATCACCGCAATAAGAAAACCATACTGAAGGGTACATTTTTAATCCCGGGGAGAAACATCTGAAACAAACTTAATGCTAAAAGATATGCAAGAAGAATACTCTTTAAAATTCTATGATCAAAATAATGTTTTTAAAAAATATGTAGAATATGTACTGGAAGGAAAAGCAAATATCCAAAAATTATAAGAGTAGCTGTATTTGGATAGTGGTATTATAATAACTCTTCCATATATTTTGTTAAAGCTGTGACCCTATAATATCACAATACTCTATAATATTATAATGATAATATATTATTATATGTTATATTATAATAATATTATGATTCTTAAAAAGGTGCAGCACAGACATACATTTTCTAGAGCCATATGCTTGAATTTGTATTACAAAGTAAAAACAGAAATACAAGGTGACACTTTTTTAATGTCCACCATATTTTTTATTAAGTGTTTTTCAAAGTAGATAAAATAACTATAAAGTTAAAGTAAAAAAAAAAAGATTTGGCCACACTTACTAATCTGGTTGAAACACCACAGCTGCATCTTACTTTATGACAAATGGACTGTTTCATCACTTTTGCATCTGGGCATCTACTTCTTAATGGTCATTTCTGAAATAAAGGTGCAATTATTAAGAATGTTAGTCTTGAATATATTATAACAAAAAATATAAAATCTTTAAGAACAATTACCTAAATCATAGCGACCAGAGAGAACTATTCTAAACAGTTCTTGAGCAGCCTCCTAATAAAAAACATTACTACCAGGGCTGATGGTGAGGAGGGAGGGACAGAAAACAGTCTATTGACACCCAGGACCAGACCTCTTCAGTCCTCAATGCCTTTTACCCAGCAGGTCCTTGTAATCCCTAAGTGCCATTTATAGACTGGAAAAAGTAAAAGGAAAAAGAAAAAAGGAAGACATAGATGAGGAGCTCTAAAATATCACATTTTGAACACAATACATTAATTGCTTATTTATTATTTGTGTTTATCTATTTCCCCATAATAACTAGAACATAACCCCCAAAAGGGAATTTTTGTCAATCTTGTTTACTGATATCTTTCACACACCTAAAACAATGACTGCCATGAAATTAAGTGCTAGTAAATATTTATTGAAAGAATAAATAAATTGATGAATTACTTAATTTCAATTGATGAAATATTTAACCTTACAATATTTTAAAACAGGAAAGTCTCAAAATGGCATTTATTTTACAGTAACACCATTATTTTAATGCCAAATATATCACCATTACTTTTTTCCCCCCAATAAACAAAGGCCATAATTAAAAGACAATCAAGGGGCCGGCCCAGTGGTGCACTGCTATAGTGCAGCGCTCCCACCGAGGGTTCGGATCCCACATACAGACCGGCCGCTCACTGGCTGAGCGAGGTGCGGGTGCAACACGGAGGGTTGCGATCCCGTTGCCGGTCACGAAAAAAGACAAAAAGGAAAAAAAATAAATAAAATAAAATAAAATAATAATAAAATAAAAGACAATCAAGACATGGTCCCAACGTTCAAGGAATGAGAACAAAGGCATATGTCACTTTGTAATTTTGTCAGTGCACCTTTGGTAAAGACTTCTAGAAGAAGAATAGCTGGATATGAAATTTTGCTAAATAGTGCCAAATGCGGTAGCTGGGTGGACAATCTTTTCCTTTTTTGAACATGTATGTTCTTTGAAGTAACTGTACTTGTTGTGGAGACAACTAGGAATATAAGAGGAAATCTTTTATAAGGAGTGAAAAGATGCTCCAGTAACAGGTCTTAAGAGCAGCCTTCAAAGAAGTCAGTAGTTTCCTATTTCCCATCCTATAGCTGAATAATAAATATATTCCACAAAATGCTACTCTTTTTGTAAAAAGCTTAGGGGAATACAAATATAAATACAGATTGCTTTTTCTGCATTTTCTTTCAAAAAGCAGCAATGGGAGGATAAACCAACATCATTTTTAAATGGAACCTATGAAGAAAAGAGAAAGCAGGGTGGAAGACACAGGGATGGAAGCTAGATTTCTCAGAATATACCTTGTTTTATAGTTTTTACCTTGGAGACACATTTTAAGAGAATTTAAAATACAAAATAAGTTCAAAAAGAAAAAAACCTGTAAAAATAGGAAACAAACTGAAACAAATGAGCCAGACCATACATATAAAGTTGGTGGTATAACCACACATAAAATTATTTCAAGGCACTTTAAAACACAACATTTTAATAGCATATCCTTAGAAGGATGTATCCAAAAGGCAAAAAAAAACCCCAAAGAAACCCTCAAAAAAATCTTAGACTACACTCAGTAGTCTTTTAACTACAAATGCTGGCAATAGCTAATAATTGTCATTAATCAGAAAATATCGTGTAGGAATATTTTCTTTCTAAACTGTAAACCTAAGTGGTTATTATTAGATGCAACTACTGTCCAGCACACAGTAAAAGTAACATACCTATTCTAAAATAAAAATCAAGGTGATTCATTAACTACCCGGCAATTCCTTACTTACCCAGGAAATGTTGCCTTGCTACACTTAGGTCCTCAATTATTTGGAGAAAGTGAAAATTCCTTGGAACAAATTATTCCCATGACTAAAAAAACATGCCATTTAAACATGAATACAACTTATTGATTTAAACAGAAGAAAAACTCAATAGATTCATTGATTTAAATTTTCCCGGGGCCGGCCCGGTGGCGCACTGCTACAGTGCGCCGCTTGGGAGGCGCGGCAGCGCTCCCGCCGAGGGTTCGGATCCCACATACAGACCGGCCGCTCACTGGCTGAGCGAGGGGCGGGAGCAACGCCGAGGGTTGCGATTCCGTTGCCGGTCCCGGTCCAGTGCGGGCGCGACACTGAGGGTTGCGATCCGTTGCCGGTCACGAAAAAAGACAAAAAGGAAAAAAAAAATTTTTTTTCCCAAAGGACTACATACATATGCCAGTTTTCTAAATGCTAGGAATTTTCAGCAAAAGTTTACGCTTAAAAAAAAATACACCAATTATAATAATACAACTTTATTTTTTTAAAAACTTAGGATTTTAGTGTTTCTTTCTCAGCAACAAAACACTTTGTGTGCAAAACTATAATTAAGACTAAATAAAGATAACAGGAGGGTGTGTATGGTTTTGAAATCAATGTTGGGGCATCACCTATGGCTTTTGTTTGTTTTGTATTTTAAGGAAATGCAAGTGCACAGCATATAGATTATGTAGTTTTTGAAACTTTATCATACACACAATCCCTCTATAGTCAAGTCATCTCTCTCTCCTTCCCTTCCTTCCTCTTGCATACACTCACACACAGTATGAATAATATATATATATATATATATATATATATATATATACTGCTGTATATGTGGGATCCGAACCCTCGGCGGGAGCGCCGCCGCGCTCCCAAGCGGCGCACTGTAGCAGTGCGCCACCGGGCCGTCCCAAAATATATTTTTTTAGTAAGAAACAATATTACATCTTAATACTGTGATTCTATTTAGAACATCAAGGTAAAAACTTCCAGAATGAGTTTTTTTCTATATCTTCAATATTATGCATAAGATATGTAAACAAATCTGAACAACATCAGAGTCTGTGGCTTTATTGTTTTTCATGAATTTTAATGCAATACACAAAATATTCACTATGGAGAGTAGCTTGGTATTTAAGAAGATTTGCCTTTGATATTACTGCCGGGAGTTAAGTTACTTGAATACCAAAAGACCTCAGTATTTGATAGCTTCTTCTTGAAGATGCTATCTTTACATGTATGTGCCCCAGAGACTGTCACCCTACTCCATTAATGTCCTCAGAAATGAAGGAATTTTTATAAAGCATACTTCAGCCCCTTTATTTTCTATGGGATAACCCATAACTTCAAAAATAGAAGTCAACCAAAAATAGTTACCATTTTTTTGAAATTCCTCTTTTATCTCCTAGGAGAAAAACACTTTTATACATTGCCGAAAAATATTTGGAGCCTACCAGAACAAAAATCACTTTTAATTGCATGGACATTTATTTTACATGAAGCATTTCTCTACTACCCAGCCCACATTTAGTTGGTCTACAAGAGTGTGTTTGTATGGAAGGGCACTTGATATCACTTTTACAAAAATTATAGCTGCCCATATAGTCCCAAAGGCAAAAGTGACTAAAATCACATTATTATAAAGTGCTGTTTGGGTAGCATAGAAAAATCTGCAGGACAGACTTGTACTAAAGGAATAATTACCAGGAGATGTAATTTACAAAGAAATATTCTAGCTTTGTTGACAACAGAGAAACTATGGGAGTTTGTCTTTACAATTTTTCCCCAAAACAAGTTGGATACTCCCTAAATTAAATAACAGCACCTGTTTATTTTATATATATTTATATTACCCCTAGATATATATTTTTAAGAACTAGAAATACATAATTTAAAATGCAAACTGGTAGAGAGGCTTAAGATCTACTGGTTATTCTAGGGAAAGCATTTGATTCAAACTTTAAAAACAAAAAAGCTCAACAACTTTCCTAAAGCAGAAGGG